CAATATTGAATACCCTTAAAATGAGAATGATAATGGCGCATAAGCTTGCTGAATTACTCACCAAGTACTGATTGGTCAAATTGGAATCGCCAGCTGGATACGGCGTGTAAACGGCCAGAGCGACGCAGTTTGCAAATATCGTCATAAGGATGAGCCACTCGAAGGGTCTGCGGAGAGTGACGTTAATAAAATCGAGTCAATTAAGGAAAAATAGGGTGTTTATTCGTGTTAACCCTTACATGTGTTAACCCTTTCGTCGCAGATCGCCGCCCTATATTGACCCTAATATCATCAGCGTACCAAACTGGAATTAGGGGTCAATTTCGAGAAGAACGATTTAATGTCAAACGCGTTATTAATGTCAGGTTCGCAAATATCGTTGATATCGGACGCGATTTCTGAACTTTGATCTTTAATTCTCGGCGTCTGGCCGAGAAATTATCTCGAGGCCGGGCAATTATCTCATTAATTGCAAAAGAAGTGTACGAGAGAAAAAGGATACTTCCACTCGACGACGCTGATGCACATCTTCCTAAGAGGGTTGGTGAGGGCCAGACAAAAGAGCGCCCGTACGGGCCTGTCGGGCGGCGGCTTGCCCCCCGTCTGACGGGTCTCTTCTGGGCCGACTTGGAGGCGGCGCCGACGGCTCCAAGGCCCGTCTGCGACGGTGGCGGTAGTTGATGATGCGTGTTCCCCAGCTGCGTCGCATTCGACACACCACCGACATTAGGTTGCTGGCCGACGATGGGGGGGGTCGCGATGGAGGGGGTCGCGGTAATCGGCTGGGCCCCCGGCAGCCGAGCGTGTGGGCCCAACGCCGAGCCCCCATCCCCCCCGCGCTCATCGGTCGGTGGTGTCGAGCTCCGTGCTTCCTGTGCTACGACGACGATCACACGTCCTTCTTCTTCTCCTACGACGACCCTCCAGAGATTGGTGCCTAGCCACGCAGATGGCGGCGATCGACGCCGATCGACGCGGTGTCTCAGAGGCGCACCACCACGCGCTGCAGCTCGCCGGCATGCTACGGCACTCTGCTGCTACGAAGCTCCCTCCGTGACCTGCGACGAAAGGTCGGGGTTCA